CAGGCAGCACGAGCTCCATTTTTGCTTCGACAGGCAGCACAAGCTCCTCCACAAGTACTTCGACTGACAGCACCACTGTTACACGTACTCCAGGTTCAACGACGCTTCTTCCATTCACCTCAACCACTTCCGTGGCTGCTCCATCCACTCAACCCTTCCCCTCAGTCACCGGACAACTTCACTCCCCGCTGGCGGCGGTGAAGAGGGCCGAAGGAGCCCGGCCGAACATCGTTTGGATCATGGCGGACGACTTGGGCTGGGGTGAAGTGGGCTGCTGGGTGAAGTGGTTTCAGTGCTTTTTTTGGGGGTCCAAACAGTGAAAGACCAACCTGCTAGCCTGCTAGACTTTCTGCTGCTACACCCACACTGGGGTCCTCTTGGGGTCTCACCCACACTGCGAGTTTGGGGTCTCTTTCTTGCCGGGATAATTGGGCTTTCAACTGTGAAAGCTGAAGCTTTCAGATGTTTTTGGCTTTCAACCTTTTCAACTGTGACTTGAAAGGACGGATCTCTTATGATGTGTTACCATTTCCACTTGTTCCACTTGTTCCACCGGGCTGTGTTGTTTGGACCTCCAATCCCCACCCCTTCACCTGGCACCGCCCGGTTCTTCACCTCTCCAGGCTTGTATCCTTCCAAGTCCAAGCACGGGCGCATCCGAACGCCGCACTTGGACCGTTTTGGTCGAGAGGGCATGATCTTCCGGCAAGCCTATTCGGGATATTGTGTCTGCGCACCGAGCCGTATGGCATTTTTTACTGGCAGGCATAGTGGTCGCTTTAGCAGCATGCGAGTGGAGGGGACCTTCTTGAGACCTTTTCAGAATATCCGGATCTTTCCCCAGGTCCTTCAATCGGCTGGGTATGTGACGGGACTCTTTGGAAAGGCCTCGCCCTTGAAATTGCCCTTGCGACAGGGCTTCAACCGATTCGTTGGGCAACTGCACCAGGGACTCTGCCACAATATGTATCCCAAGTACATCGACGAGGCTGAAGGGGAATTGAACTTTCCACTGTCTGGGAATGTTCAGGAGAAATCCCGTGAACTTTGTATGGCCAATCCTGAGAGCTACAACTACACCATTGATGTGTTTCATACTGCTGCACTTGCTTGGCTAGAAGAAGTCTCGAAAGGTCCGGCGCCGTTCTTCTTGTACATGAGCTACACCATTCCACATGCCGGCGGCTGGGCTGATTCTCCTCTCATGCCCGAGACGGGGCAACCGGTGCCGGTTGACATGGGTTATGGGAGCAATGGGAGCGCCTGGCCGGAGGTGGAGCGCGATCATGCCGCGGTGATTAGCTACATGGATTTGAAAGTTGGCGAGTTGATGAAGCAGCTGAAGGACTTGGGCATTGATGATCAGACCATTTGTCTCTTTGAAATACCTATTGAGTGTGAGTTGTTTGTGTTTAACACTTGCTGAAATGATGGCTTAAAACCTCCACAGTCTTGCTACGGGCACCGCAGAGAATCCCCGTTTGAGCAGAGAAACAGCATGTGAAGTCTGCGATGTAAGATGATGTAAGTTCGCCGCGTAGCTATCAATCCCCAAATAGATTGGATTGCACGGTGTCCAACACATGTTGAGTGGGGATCTACTATTTTCTATTTATTTTTGGGGGGTCTAGATATACATGTGCAAGTCAGGTGATGTTCTTGGAGCCTTTATTTGGTGTCTTTTCTTCGACGCGGGCGCGAGAAAACGCCACCGCCCACCGCCCTGTCCCGCGTGCGGTCAACGCCCACGACGCCCACTCCGCCCACCGCGCGAGGTTTCTTCGCCTCAGATAACGGTGCCCACTCCGAGGGAGGCCATGCGATCGCCTTCTTCGACTCCACCGGCGGCTTGCCCGGCCACAAGGGCGGCATGTACGAGGCCTCGGTGCGCAGTCCCAGCATGGTGCGTTGGCCCACGTGGATCGCGGAGAACCAGACGTCGGAGCTGCCCTGGGCCTTCTGGGACGTCTTTCCCACCGTGGCGCAGTGGCCCGGAGGGCGGCAGCGGGTGTGATTGGGTTGGTTACGGCTGGATTTGGGTGGTGTGTTCTCTTGTTTGGTCGGGTTTCTGGGGGGTGAATCCCCTTAGGGGAAAGATGGGGGTTATGACTGATGTTTGGATTTGGTCCAGCCTCCAAGGTTGGCAGGTGTGAAAGTGGAGACGCCCATCGATGGCATCAGCATTTTGCCGGAACTACTCCGATCGAACGACGCTGCGAAGGAAGCAGTGGACATGGAAACGGCGCCGCCACTGGAGCGGTATTTTTACTTTACATGGCGGGGTGATGGCGGTCGTTTCAAGCCCATCAAGGATCCCTTCATCAAGCGCAACGGTCCGGGCTACACGATCCGTTGGGGAAATTGGAAGGGCATGGTGCCACATTGCTGGGATCAAGATCTCTTTAAGCCAACACGAAGGGACCGCATGCGGCTTTTTGATTTGAAGGCGGATCCGTTGGAAACCACCGATGTGGCCAAGACGAAGCCCGAGATCGTTGAACTCTTGATGAATCTGGTGCTCTCTCAAAATCTCAGTTGTCTTTGCTATCAATGCCCCTGGCCCAGAAAGCCTCGGAGAACAGGTGCCAACAAGACGCACTCAAGCGGAGGAAGCGAAAAGGACGAGAAACCGTTGAAGTTGAAGGATGTTGAAAGACACTGGGTCGTTTGCTGCGCATTAATGTTATTTAACCGGTTTGACTGTGTGGATGAAGCGTGTTGTTCGTTGCTGGGAGGGATCTGACCTTGAACCATATGGTTTGCATGGCCCATCGGCGGGTTTTCTCCCTGTCAGGACTCTAGCCGACTCTAGCCAATTTGGCTTGTAATCAAGAAGAATGGAAAGGCATCAGGCTACAGATGAAGGATGATAAAGGTGGACTCCCAAACCAAACCACTGGACAATGATAGTTCATAGTTCGTAGTTCGTCAATCATACCTACTCCTTGAACACGGCGACCGTTTGATCTGGCCTGAGGCAGGTTAACAGGCATGAAGCCTGCAACAAAGAAAGCCTCCCAGTAGATCAACGAGTAAGGAACCACCACAAACACCCCTGTTCGATCGACACGGTTGGAGTCGAACTGGAACCATTTGGAACCACTGGTGACGAACTAGTGGCTACAGTAGGCGACAGTATGGACTGGATTTCCTGGGGACTGTTGATGGACACAAGGGTTAGCTTGCTCGGTTTCAAGTTCGTCCCTGAAAAGCGTCTATTCGACCCTGCGTGTGTGTTTTTTTTTTCCAAGCTGTCTTCATGAGCATGGGAGTCAGGAGTTCTGGTGAAGGGAGATCAGAGATATGGTTTTGCTGCCAAAAGGAGAATTCCCTGTGTGTCTTGTCGTCGGCGTAGGTACAATCGTTCAGAGAGTTTCGATTCGTTTGGCGTGGGCTGCAACCAAGTCCCAACGAGAAACAGTTCTGGTTGTTCCAATATGACGCCAGCTTGAGATCCTTTACATAGAACATGGCTGTTTGGGGAAGTTCCATCCGCTTTCTGGTTGGACATGCTCAAAAAGCTCGGAAACCGAACAGCGCCCGAGGCTGCGCGAAAGGCGGAGTCGCACGAGCAGCTGGTGAAAGCCATGGGGCGCCTTGGAGAGGGAAGGGCGTCACCGAGGGCGGAAGGAGGCCGCCAGGGATGATGGGGCCTGGTTACTGGTTCCTTTACTTGATTTCCAGCTGAAGAGGAGGTTTCTAAAGACCAGCTCAAAAAAAGAACGACCAAATAGTGCAGAGTAAGTTTGTTACAGTATACTTGTTCTTCATATTTTTATTTGTCTATGTTCTTCTAAGCTCAAGTACATCGGCAAGTAGACTTTGCCTCACGGCCCCAACCGGAACCTCAAGTAAAGGTTTTCCTCTCCTGCAGCTCAAGATCTCACATGTCAACATGTTTCTTTTGGCCCAAAATACAGAAGCCGCATGCAGGGCTTTCTGTGTCAGCACTGCCAAGAATGTGTTCTCACGTACAAACACTTCACAGAAAAGAATCACTCAGGTTCCAAATCTCTCAGAGATGTAACAGCATTCAACCATACAAAAGATTCAACATGTACTTGGGCCACTAAATCAATTGACTCGGGCTACTCAATCAAGTCACTTGGGATACTAAATTGGTTCACTTTACTATGAACTTGGACATTTACCTAGATGTTCGTTGCTAAAGCCAAACACATACGCAAATCAAAATGCCTACACAGAGGCTCAGGGGGTGGGAGCTGTGGCCTCAAATGTAGAGTGGGAAGCAGCTTCTGGGAGTTCTAGCTTTGTAGTACAAATGTAGTGTGATAAGTAGCTTCTGGAAGCTCGGGCGGGAAGCAGCTTCTGGGAGTTCTGGCCTCTCAACTGGCAGCTTTGTAGTACAAACGTAGCGTGGTAAGTAGCTCGTGGGAGCTCGGGCGGGAAGCAGCTTCTGGCCTCTCAACTGGCAGCTTTGTAGTGCAAACGTAGTGCGGTATGTAGCTTGTGGGATTAAACGGGCGGGAGCAGCTTCTGGGAGCTCTGGCCTCTCAACTGGCAGCTTTGTAGTGCAAACGTCGTGCAGTAAGTAGCTTGTGGGAACTGGGCGGGAAGCAGCTTTTGCGAGATCTGACCTTTCAATTGACAACGTCGCGGTATGGATGTAGTACGGGGGCAACTTTGTATGTAGTGCACGTGTGCGGGAAGTGGCTTCTTGGAGCTCTGGGCTGTACTTTGGCGTCGGCCCGCGGCGCTCGCAGCAGGCACATACCACTGAGCAAAAACTGCTCGATCCCGCGCGATGGGATGGGAATCTTCGAATCGATGACGACCACTTGGTCGGTCGAATATGCCAACTGCACACAACTCTACACTATCAACCAGACAACTTCAACATCAAACTTCAACACAACTCTACACTATCAACCAGACAACTTCAACATCAAACTTCAATACAACTCTACACTATCAACCAGACAACTTCAACATCAAACTTCAATACAACTCTACACTATCAACCAGACAACTTCAACATCAAACTTCAATACAACTCTACACTATCAACCAGACAACTTCAACATCAAACTTCAATACAACTCTACACTATCAAACTCAAACCGGAGACACGCCGTGGACCCACACCGCCGACCCGCCGCCCCGCCGTGGCGCCCAGGATCCGTCAGACCTGGCGAGAGGCGCAGGCGCGTCGTGCCGGTGCCCGGGCATCCGAGCGTTCTGCGTCGTGCCGCGTCCGGCAACGGAGAAGACGATCGATGACAATTGATCTACGATTTCGAGCACCGGAGGTGTTCATGAGAGAGGTCAGTCAGCCAGGTGTCTTATTTTGGCAGAAGCATGGGACGTGGGAAGATGGAATGGCTGCTTGGAAGAGACCATGGTTTTCTTCTACCGGCAAGGTTGTGCTCGCTACTAAAGCATGTGTGTTGGAGGGTTCAGAAGATGTGCTCGACTTATAGCACCTACGATCGACTCGACCGAGATTAGGAATGGTACTGAATGTAATGTATTGAAACCAAGGAACCACATTCATTTTGGCAGAACTTTAATTTCTTATTGTGATGAACCCTTGTATAGCGACCTTCCACCAAGATTGCTTGGAAACAACACTAGCTCATTCGACTCGATGATAAGGGATTTACTCGACCAAAACCTCTGGCAGCCTTGATAGACGTTTTGATCCAGACCATTCCCATAGCAAGGTTATCAATGCGTCCCCATTCATGAAGGGATCAGCATTCAGGAAAACATCAACGCCATCACCAGCACCGTTATCAACCAGAACGGTCGGGTGTCACACGTGATTTCTTCGGCAGAACTCTGGTCGGACGGATCGGCAGTGAAGCCAGGCCGGTTTTGGCGACAGAAACGAGACCACTGTTGTGAACCCGAAAAAGATACCACCAGCAGAGATCCCGAAAGGTTTTCAGTCCCTAAGTGGATCATGTGGCGACTCACCCAAATTACACATTTCTCTTGTAATTCCCTGGTCTCTCTCTCTCTCTCTTCCTCTATCTCTCTCAGCCCCCCCAAAACCGGCTTGGCCACACCGCCCCGGGCTGCGCCCAAACCAGCGCCTCGCTTCTCCTCCTCCTCCTCCTCGTTCCGCGCGGACGGAGAGCGCGGAGAGCCGACGTGGAGGTGATAAAGATGGACACGAACGTCAAGCTCCAAAAGAAGGTGGGGACCGAGAAACCATCGCGGTTCGTTTGGGGGTTATCTAGCGCATGGTGAAGGTAGCATGGAGAAGGCGCCAAACACAAGTGTTTTTTGCGTACGCAGTTAAGCGGTTGGCGCAGGGTACCTTAAAGAAGGTTCTTTTACATACAATTACTGTAGCCCTGGCTTCGTGATCGAAGCGTTCAACCACTGGCAGGGATCTTGTTGGAGGTGGTTTTGTTGACCCTGGCCTGGCCTTGGTTCAATCAAGAAGATTCAGCTGCTGGGGAGATCGATTTCCATGGCAATTGAAGCTCTTTTCACATAGAGCAATTCCTTTGGAATTCAACATATTCGGGGGGTTTCCCACAGATGAGCCGGGTGAGATTGGCGATGGGGTGGCAAAGGGCTGGCTGAGCAACCCCCTCGTCGACCGAGGAGCTCCGCATGAGAGTGGACTTCAATAGAACCAAAGGGCCGACCTGACGAGTGAGCTGGTTCCATTGGCTCACGAAAACTCGGGCAAAGCCGGATGAAGAGCAGGATGAAGAGCAGGATGAACCGGGAGTTCGTTATTTTTTTCTCCAGGTTTATGTCAGGCGGACGATGGAAGACCAAGCACATGATAGTTTTACAATGTTTTACAGATTCTCATCCACGTGGTTCCAAGAACATGGAGTTTCGGCTGCCGCCGCGTCCATTCTGCGTCCGAACAATCAGATGTCTGCATCCCAAATCCCAAAAGGCACCCGGTGTATTTCGCCTTATTCCCTTCCGTTTCCTTCTTCGGAGCCAGGTCCTCCGTTTGGGGATGACTCCCCAAACCGGTCCGGGCCGGTGCACCGGGTGGCGACCGTACCGGACCGGACCGGTGAGCGCGGTGATGGGCGCCAGGAGAATCGGGCGTTGATCAACAAGTTGAAGAAGGCGTTCAAGAAGGCACGGAGCGGTGAACCGGTCCTTCCCTTCAGTGGAGACCATCGGACGGTTAGTGACCGCGGTTTTTTGACCGCGGTTCGGTTCCACAAGGTCGCCGGAGACCGCGGGCGGAGACGATGTCGGGGTTGAAGCGGTGACTCCACTAAAGGTATGGGGAGGGATGGGAGTTCCTTTCGGAAGCAACCCATCAGGTTCACTGATTGAGCCTTTTTTGGTGCAAGGGTTCCTGGATCTCTCTCTCTCTCTCTCTCTCTTCATGGGGACTCTTGAAGAGGACGGGTTCGCAGACACGAATACAGGGCAAAGTGATATGAAACAACGACAAGGACATCGAATATCAATGGTCGATTCGCTTTCAGAATCATGCCATTGCAAAGAAGATGTGGGCAGCACATGACGCACATGTGAGATTATTGAGATTGCATATTTGAGAGCATGAGAGCACACACACACATGACAGCTATGCAAGAGAGGACGCATAGGTGGCCACCAGAGAACACTGATGAGAAGAGAGACATGTGAGAACTGAGAGTGTAAGAGACCACACATGGCAGCTACAGAAGAGGACGTGCAGGAGGGCGCAAACGTGAGAACATACCCATGAGAACGCATAAGAAAGAACACACGTCCAAGATTTGTGCTGCGACTGCCATGAAATACATCGAGGTTCACAAAGCATTGCGCCTGTCACAATATCTGAACTTTCAGCTTCACATCGCGGGGGGTCGTGGTCATGCTGTGTTTATAGTGTGCTGTGGTTATGCCAGCAGGCTCCAGAGCAGATTCTGGAAGAGGTTGCTGTTGGGGACTTGTTCCCTTTCTCTCTTGTTTTTTTGCATCTTTTTTCAAGTCCCATGTTTGCTTCCATTAGCTGGCTTGCTTGAGTTCGACCGCCCACAAGAACACGGAGCATCAGGAAACACGGGATGGGATGGCAGAAATAGACCCCACACTTGCTAGCGGCTGCGGCTAGGGGTATTCATTCGTTTGGGCAGCAAATATCTCGTGCAGCTTCTATACTAGGACCCACAGTCGGGGTGGTTCATGGACACCGTGAATCACCTCTTTTCGGGGCCAAATTCGACACCCCCTGTTCCACCGGGTGTCCTGGTAGCTGTTGAAGGCCGAGTTCGTTCTTGTCCCGGTACAGCGGGGGTTGGGGTGAGCCTCACGGAGCCCAGTCACCAATCGATTTTTGCAGGTGGAGGAGCACAAGGCCGAGGAGCTGGAGAAGTGGCAAATCGTTTCTTGTCACCCGAGTTCTGTGGGGATCAGTGAAGCCGGCTCACTGTTAACAGTTGTTTCCATGAGATGGAGTCCACCCAAAACACCAGCGAGTTGAGGAAGGGATTCCAGAAATGGTGTCTATATCCATAAGTTCGGGGGTGCAAAGTCCTGAACCGACACGAACAAAAAACCAACACATCTGAGTTCGACACGAGAAAACCAACACCAAAACGACTCCGAATCCATTGCTCTTAGACTTTTGACCACAAAAGAGGACCCTAAACCCTAAACCCCACCGTTCGTTCCTTCTCGCTTGGAACGCCTCCAGCCTGCTGGCTGCCGGTGCGGCGACCCCCCCCACCGTTCCTTCTCTCCACGCGGTCGGTGTCCGGAGCACCGTAGGGCTCCACAGCACGCCTCGGTTCAAAAGGTATGGGGTTCGGGGGTAGGGAGCATGGCTGCACACCGGTGTGGAGTGGTCATTGCGGCGGCTGCCCTTTCCCTGTTTCTTGAGCCTTCCTGGCCCACCATTGAGTTAAGAGGTCTTCACCGAATCAAGCGTCGTCTTACATGGTTTTACTTTGTTTTACTATATAATACTATATACATGCATGTATAAGAATTTCACACGACAACACCCATTTTAAACAAAACAGATCGAACGGAAGGCGACCCGGGTTGCTCTTGCCCCCGCGTCATCGATTCGGCTTGGCCACCGCTCAAGCCGCCACAGCGCTCAACCCGCCCGGAACCGGGTTGGTCGTTGGACCAGGTCAAGGAGGAGCACGAGGAGAAGATCCGGCAGGTGCCGACATCGGTTGGGTTGGTTCAGACCGCCAGCGTCAGCAGTGAGAAGATCTGACATCGGATTTGACGTAACAACAACCGCTTCCCAAGCTTCCAAGTGAACAGCAATGGAAAGTATGAGAAGGACTCACCAGGGAGTTTGGAATTGCCCCCCGGTTCTGTAAATCTTCCGACCTGGATGCTTGTTGACGGAGGATGGAAAAGCGGGTATGGCAGAACACCGTGGGGGCGGGTTTGGAGGGAGCACTTTTGGGGCGAAGTGGGTGGGTTGAAGGCTGCGATTCTCTGTTATGACCATTCCATTCATATGGTTTTCACACGAATCCATGGGCGAAGTACTGAAGATGGTGACCTGTGCACAAGGTGTTTGGCTGGGGTTTCGCACGGGGCCACGGGTGACACGGGGAAGGAATGAAGATGAGCAGAGCAAGTTTTTGGTGCTAAGAGGCAGTGCTGAGGGCCGACTACACAATGCATTGACTCCTGGTTTGCGTGTTCGTCAGCGCGGATGGATGGATTTCCTTCGGCATTCTTTCCGAAAATCGGACCAACCGGTCTAAGCGGTCTGCCCTTTTGTCATCGTCGAAACCCAAAAAGAGGGTCCCTCGCCAATGGATAGAATTAATTAGTAAACTATATAGTTTGCTATATACACCCATTATATGGGTGACCCTTTGCTCAAGGCTTCTTCGGCTTTCCGCTTCATTCTTTTCTCTCACCCCCCCTCCACCGCCCCAAAGCCCGAAGCCGCCGGGAACACCGCGGGGAACATCCCGCGCGGAACGTGCTTTGCTCGCGCCGCGCGCTGAGAGCGGCCTGGGCAGGTGCAGGAGCGCCGCGATTGGGCCCTGCAGGTCTTTCAAGAGGCCCCCGGCGGTCGCGCGGCGAGGCCGGCGAGGCCGCGGGATTCCGCGCATCTCCAGCGACGGAGGGATCTATAGATCGATCTGCGTGGCTTTTTCGAAGGGGGATGCTTTTTTTTGGTGGAAGTCAGACGACACACCCAAGTACTGAATGGGTTACGGGTGAGGCCATTATCATTACATATATTTCCCAGAGAATGCACTTTAAATTTTAAAGAAGCAAACCATTTTCTGAGGAGTTCTCCATCCAGAACGCACCGCACCTCCGCGGCTACGATGGTGGTCTGGTCTGGCGATCCCGCTTCTCGGGTTCCACTCCACCGACCACGGGTCAGTCGATGTGCCGAACGATCTGCCAGGAGCTGGTCCAGGACTATCTCGATAAGGAGAGCTGGTGAAACCACCGGTCGAAGCCACCGGGAGAACCGGTGAAACACTCACCGGGAGCGGTGTTGAGGTGTTGAACCAATGCTTGGTGAATCAGAAGCCATGCTTAGAGTGGAGAACCATCGCCGCGGAGATGCAGGGGGGTCAAGTATGATGTATGATGATTACTTCAATTTCTTTTGGAGGTGATACCTATAATATGATATTTCGTCATGTTTTTCTTCCGAATGCATGTGTTTCGTGTTTCTTTGAACCCAAACAGGTCGTGTTTGGGTCAGAGCAATGCAGCAACACGAACCACTCTGGGGCAGCAACACCATCCACGTGACTCGATGAACGTCCCTACGACTCGTCCCGTTGTTGTCTGCTCGCCATCGATGTGGAAAGCCAGATACTGCAATGAACTCCAGCTATTCGCACTCTGTCGGGTGAGCTCATCTGCAACATGGAAAGCAGAACACATGCGTCTTCGTGCTTTGACCTACGGGACCATACGTCAGCATGACCAGAGCCGTTTGAATAAGGGCGACACCCGCGGGTGTCGCCGCTTGAAGCGATCGATTTTTGAGAGAATCTGGTGCGGAGGGGTTTGCACAGCCATACCAGGACACTAAGGGCAAGGGGAGCTGGGGTCTTGTTTGGAGCCCGGAACGAGGTGGTTAATAGACACCCTTTACCCTCCTTACCACCCATGAGTTTGCCTATTTCAACACACCAAGACATCCCAAAAGGGGTTCAAGGGACATTGCCACAGGAAGTTTCTGCCTGGCCAGGAGCAGCGCACGCAGGAGCGGCTGGCGGAAATGAGAGCCGGGGCCCTGGCTGAAGTGTTTCCTCACGCGAAGTCCGATACTGGTTTGATCTATATAGTTAAATCCCATTCAAAGAGTCCCATTCAAAGAGCTGCTTTCCAATACTTCCTTGGGTTATAAATTGATAAACCATATATCATTCTGCACCAGTCTTCGTTTCCTTTAAAGTAACACCTAAAAAGGCATTCCTGACACAAAGACCGTTTGGATTCCACTGGCCTCCCTTGGCGCCACCGGATTGACCGACACGTTTGGGACGCGTTTGCGTCGGCGTCTCAGGAGAAAGCTCGCGAGAAGGCATTGAAAGGTGAAGAAGAATACTTGGACTCTGGGCCGGAAGCGTCCTCTTTCGGGTCCTCCAGTCAAGGGAGGGTGGAACCAAATACAGCCACGAGTAGTCCATAGGAGTAGTAAGAAACCAGGTGGCATGCAAAGCCAAGAGATGACCAGTAGCAGGTAGCAGTCACGTTCGACCGGGGGTGGTGTGGCTGGTCCCATCCAGGGGCTCGTGGATGTGACAGGCTCCGAACCTCCACGGATCGCCCGTAAGCTCGCTTGACCAAGCATTGACACTTACGTCCACTTGTGGTTTAGGCCCTTGAAGCAGTGAACCTCACTGCAGTAGGACATGGCGAAGGAGACTTGGCGTGAGAAGTTCCAGCCATCGCGTGATCCAAAGGATGCGGGTTCCCCGGAAAAGCTTCACATGTCTTTCCCTTCTAACTAATCATCATGGGTTTTTGTCACACGATGGTCTGTTCCGACGCGTGGATGCTGGAGGTGCCGGTGGGGGTGGAACCATGGGCGCTGGGGTTGGAACCTACGGTGTCAACGCCACGTGCGACGCGTGGAATGCGAACCTACGAGTAGCTCGTCGCTCGTGTTTTCTGGGCCCTCGGCCCTGAGGCACGTGAGGACGTACCCTGCGACAAAAGGAACATGGAAAGCGGAACCATGGCCTTTGGGAAGACTAGGTTCCTCTACAAACAGGATGGCATCCCACCGCCGATGCATCTTTTTCCCGGGGAACCCCGTAACCCGTCCAGTCCTGACCGGTCGCAGTAGACGTGTGATGCTACGCTCCCGCTGCGATGCGGCGCTCCCGTTGCGATGCTGCCGCTGGGCCGTGGGTTTACGCCGGATTGCGGCACTCCGGTCGCTTCTTCTCCTGGCTGAATTCCCACGAGCTGAGGAGAAATTGGAGAAGTCCTTGCGCCAGATCGAGGCAAGTGAGAAAGACGTTCGAGGGTTGGGGAGAGAGGGAGGATGGTGAGTGCAACAAGCACAATACTGTGGTGAGTTACATGTGTTGCATCATATTTTTTTGGGTGGCCCCTTTTCTTTGTGCTCGGGGAGGGATCTGAGAACGGAAGAAGGGGGGTCCTTCCAGTGGACATGGCTTTCAACGTTCAGGATCCGTCCCCACCTGTATTTTTTGATAGGCTGACTACTTGGAGCAAGTTCCGAACATTGGAAACTGGTTGTTTCTATTCGTGTTTCTTCTTTCATGCAGGCCGACTGAAGGGAGGTGACCCCAACAGATTGAGGGCCAGTAGCCCAGAGAGTTTTGAACTCCATGTCCAGGCGTGCTGGAAGCGAACCGCCGCATGAAAAGTCCTGCACCACCAGCTGAGAACGGTGCGAAGAATATCCCTCTTTTTTCTGGGTTCTTAGTGCGAAGGCCTTGAATATTTTTAGCAAATACTCCTTTTAGAATAATTAGTTTAAGACTAGTCCAGAATACTCTTGGTCTTCCTTTGATGTTTGACACTCTTTGAAATATACCACTCCTTACTCCTTGACTGATTTAAAGGCTTACGCCTAACAGCCAGGCGCCGGCCCACTAGGGTCTGTGTAGGGCTGGGTCGGGTGCACGTTAAGCTATCTGGTGCGCATCTTGGCCAAGTTGGGCCCATGTGGTCTATGTTGGGCACATCTTGGGCCCATGTTGAGCCTATGTTGGGCCTATGTTGGCCTATGTTAGGCCTATGTTGGCCTATGTTGGCCTAGGTTGGGCCTATGTTGGGCCTATGTTGGCCTATGTTGGCCCCATGTTGGCCTATGTTGGCCCTATGTTGAGCCATCTTGGAGGCTATGTTGGGCATATGTTGGGGATATGTTGGCTATCTTGGGCCTATGTTGGGGATATGTTAGGCAATTTATGTTGAAAAAATCTTCCGATACAACTTTTTACGACTTTTCCTTCCCGCAAAGCAAAAACCATGGAAAAGCCTACGTTTGTTAACATCGCCAAGATGAAATTCTCCGCCGCCGAGGGGCCCAAAACCCTGTAAAGCACGAGGTTTTGAACATCGCACGCAAAAGCCACGGTAAACTACAGTGACTTCAGTGACCCGGAGGTGGGAAGGGGGTCCCCCCGTGTTCATGACGAGGGTCGGCAGCAGGGGCGGTACGGGCTTCGTGGCCGGCCCGGATTCCCACTACTCTTTTTGGGCGGTTGCGGCGGAGACGTGTGGTGCGACGTGTGGACCTCTGAGGCCAAGCAGAAGGAGAAGGAGGAGGATTTCCTGGAGTCTCTCGAGCGCCGCTTGGGGCAGTCGATTGGAGTCGAATGTTTCTCCGTTCGGTGCCCGGGTCCAAGGTCCGACTTCCTTTGAGAGTGATTGCAACTAGCAGAGTGCCTCCACGAAGCTCGTGTTCTTAGGACTTGAATGCATTCAGAGAGATCCAGAGAACTGCGGATTTGAAGCATTGGAGGGCCAGCACAGATCCCACCAAGCAAAGATGCAAACATGCACGAAGAACGCAAGGAAGACTGGCAAGTCCTTATGGATCCTGGGGGTGTCCTGATGGGGCTCGATTGACTACGCCAGCATCATTGACATAACACGCCTGCCAAACCAAGTACCTTGCTTTTTGTTGGGTCGACCGGCCGTGGATTTGGTGCGGATGGGGGTGACACTTCGGGAAGCCAGAAAGGGGGAGGGCTTCCCACGGGTTGCAATGCTCTTTGTTTTTTTTTGGGGGGGTTGGAAACGGGATGCTCCAGGGTCTTGTTTCCGAAGCTTTCGATCTGGTCGAACCCCCCCCCCGGTCGAGTCCGCGGCTGCCGGACGCGGCGCGCGCTTCAAACACTTCCCTGCGGCTGCCGGCCGCGCCGCGTCCGCCGCACAACGGCAAACAGGTTCCAACAGGGTTCCAACGGGTTCCCAGGTGATTTCAGCCAGTTCTGTGGCTCGAACGACCCGGTTCGCCCACCTCCAATGCAAGCCCAGGTCAGGCGGCTGCCCGAGTGACTGTGGGGCAACAGCACGAGGAGATCAAGCAGGAGGCGTTCGGCTTGTGAGGGTCACAGGCAAAAGCACCTGGTGTGGTGGGAATTAGGTATGGCATTTGCTGAAGATGGGAAGATGGGAGGCTACATCATCAATGACATCATTGGAGGGGGTCTTAAGCTGTAGTTAGTCTGGTTTTCCACCTTGGGATTTGATAGTGACAGAGGCTTCAAGGAGGGTCTAATTTTTATATTCTACAGATGCCTACAGTCTACAGTACAGTTTGAAATGCAAGGGGTCTAGTTGATTGAAGGACAGTGAATGCATCGTCAACTTTTCCAGGTCCCATACGGAATTACCACAGAAAATTCGATTGAGATGAATACTTACTTCGACATGTCCGACAGAGGAAGGACGCCACTTCCACTTCACCATCACGACCATCTTTCCCATTGAGATTGGAAGTCGATATAACGAAATACTCGAGTTTCTTCGTGTACCACACCCTCGGATCACGGAGAAAGGCGCCGGCACTTGTTGGGAGACCATGGGAGTCTCATGCATTTACGGAAGGGAATGCTGCTTGGTCCTGGTGGTCCCCAAGGTGGTGTCTTCTAATGACATCAGGCCATTGCAGTTTGCGCCTGGGAGTCACAGAAAGACACCAACGTTAGGGTAAGACTGCAGAAGGGAAGCCTTCAGGTTCAACCACTGACCACCACTGACCACGGTCACCCCCCCCACCCTGTCGTTCCTGTCCGTCACGGTCACCCCGCGCCGCGCCGGGCGCGGTGAGGCGAAGAAGCACTGGACCGAGAAGGTGGTGCCCGTGGCTCGGCGACGTTCGCCCATGCGGTGAGAGAGCCGTGGGGTCCGGGGTCGCTGGAGCTGGGCCAGCTGTCCACTTGATCGCGTGCAACTCGAAGCCGCAGTCAAGCCTGGTAGGTCAACCATGTACTTGTAGGTGAAAGAACGGTTTGGTCAACCACCAGGTCAAAACCCATCCAGGTAGGTCAACTGCTTGGTGTCTTGCCTCACATCCGGCACCCACCGCGCTCGGGGGGTTTTTCACGACGAACCTTCTCCATGGGAGCTCGGACCGAGAGGAACAGGAGGAGACGAAGGGCTTTTTAAATATAGTTCTTTTGGGTAGGGATGGAACACTGGAACACTGGTTTGTAGAGCTTGTGTTGGGTTTTGTTTTGTTTTTCCTGGTTTTCATGTGCTGGTCGGTGAGTGGCTGACCTTTTAACCTTTCTGGTGCTTCAGAAATGAACCTGTGGAGAAGGATTAAAACCTCTTCTTTCTAACCTTGGAGTTCCCAAAAACCACCCGACGGGTGGAGGTATTGGACGCCCACCGGACCGCAAGTACGAGTTTGCCTGCGTTTCGTCGTTTCCTATACGTAGCAGGCCGTGGCCGCTCGTGAAACCTGACGCGGCCCACCCAGAAATTGGAGAAGAAGCGGGAAGAGGAGGAGCGGCTGAGACGCAAGGCGCGTCTCCGGAGACATTGAGAGGGCGCCCTTAGGCTGAGAGGGGTGAGAGGGGTGGCTGGTCTGGATCAAAGCTGGTGGGGCCGTAACTCAAGATGTTCAGAGAATCCTCAAAACCGCTGGGACAGCAATCCTGAGTCCAGAAACAGTACGGAACTCTCCAATCCCAGTCAGTTCCGAATTGTAAAGGATCTCAAGCTGGTGCCATATTGAGTTCCGTTTCGGGTTGGGATTGGAGTCATACCAGAAGGATCTTACCTTCGGAGAAAAGGGACTCTGCTGCTGGTAAGCGAAGACTGGGGTTGGAGGAAGGGAGTGAATGCACGGCTGAAATATGCGCCAGGTGGGAGCCAACGCAAGTCGGAAAGCCAACATGAAGATCTAAGGGTCGGGCCACAAGTGGGTAAGTATACAGCCACGTGGAGACCAATGGGGGCGCCGCACTCCGAGATCTAGTGATTTCCAGCGGTTTCTCGCATGTGCAACTCTGATTCGACCCAGTCCAGCCGGGAGACCTCCTCCTACCCTGATGACCTACCATTCTTTTCATCTGAAAGGGGAAAGCAGAAAGCAGACTCCTTGAGAGATTCGGAGTGCCCACGAAGCACACCCTGTGGATCTGGGAGTTTAGGGTGTTCAAGGAGACAGCGCCTGGCGCACGTCACCCCCCCTTTTTTGGGGGGGGGAGGGAGCCTTAGGGCATGACAGCTGCTTTCTTCCTCCACGTCCCTCCCACCTTCCTCTTCCTCCACCGTGACCACCACGTCGACGCCGCAGGTGCCACGCCGGCCGAAGGCCAATAGCAGTGATGCCATGTCGCCGAAGAAGCGCCTCGACAGAGGGAGAGACGTGGGGTGTGGAGAGAAGGCCGCGGGCGGATCTTGTAAGGCTTGGTTTCAAAAAAGAACACAACACCTCCTTTCAGAAGAGCTTCTGTTTCCGAAAGCCAGAAGATGTTGCCTAAAGCCAGCTGGGCACCTGGGCATCTTCATGCTTAGATTCTTCATGCTTCTTCCGTTTCTGAATTTGGGCCCTCTTGCGCCGTTGGGATTGCGCCATGGGGTTGAGGCTGAAATTCCTCCAAGAGGAAGCGCAACGGCGACTGGAGCAGCAGGGGATGCTCAGTTGGTTGGGGTTGGGAGCGATGTGCTCAAAAAGGAGAAGAAGAAGCTGATGACAAGTGAGATGAGGCCCTACATTCCCATGATGTTTTGTGCAAGTCACATAAAACAAGACTGAGGCTATCCTTGTTTCTTTGGAACGGTTAGTGCAGATGCTCATTCATTTCGATGGCGGCAATGAAGAATAGTTTGACTGAAGGCAGAGCTGGCAGGGAATCGACTGAGTTGGCCTACTTAGGAGAAGTTCCCACGGGGTTTTGGTTGTTTTTGGCATGACAGAAAGGAGAGTTCGAAAGACTTGCTCTCTTCTTTCTTCCTCAACATATCAGTTAGATTAAATCAGAAGGGAAATGTCCTGCCCAGGGGCCACCTTGGCACCCGGCCGTGTCCGAAAACACGGAATCGCCGGTTGCACGCACGTGTTGCGGCTCTTGCCCCTCACCGACCATCTTCCTCCCGCGCCGTTCCGCGTGCCCCCACGCCGCCAAAAACGACCCCCCCCTGGCCGAAGCTGAAGGCGGCAGAGCATGGACGAGCTGGTCTATCGGAACTTGCAACGGCTGCAACGTGCCATGGTCGCTGCAGTGGCCGAGTGGTCGACCAGTGGAACCGAGTGAGGGGTCGACCCGGTCGACTGGACGCTGCGGGCCGAAGGGGTGTGAGGTGGATCGGATGTGGCCCGTTGAGGTCCCGTGCAGCGCAGATGTTTTTTTTTTTTTTTCGGTCGGGGATGTATTCCCTGCGGTGGATCAGCAGAGAGTGAATTCATCCACTCGGTCTACACTCCAAGGAACACATCACATGTTCACCAAGTGGATTTCACCCCCTCTTTGGTCTTCGGATTTCATAGTACCCAGACGCTCCATGGGACTGCCATATATGCCGATCAGTTGGGGTGGTTTGGGGGGTCAATGTAGGCATATATGGCATACATGGGGTGTCTGGGGTATGTCATGGTCATCAACAATCCGTTTGGGTTCTGGGGTTGCACAACACATCAGACATCGGGCAGGGTCATGACACGCAGACTCCACATCTCAAGCGGCGACTGCGTGTGGAAGAGTAAGACGGGCATTTCCAGTTCAAGCGGTTTCAATTCCCACTTGTTAGTTCCCATACACTCCATGTATGCCATATATGCCAATCAATTGACCCCTCAAACCACCCCAACTGATCGGCATATATACCATACATGGAGCGTCTGGGGTTGGTTTCTACGTGAGTCAACCCCCCCCAGAAGCCTCTTCCCAACAACTCCTGTGGAGTCCATCGGTCATTTCTCCATCTGTGGCTACTCCGTCCACCGAGGTAGCCATGATTTCAAGACCGATCAGCTTCTTTCCAGGCCCAGCCTGTGGGGCCGAGGTGGCGTTTTCGTGCAAAACAGCGCGTGCTGTTTTGCGTGTTTTGATGTGTGCTGTGTGTAAGGATCCCCACTCTTAATTTGAGGGATTTTGGAGGAAGAAGGACCTCACAGAAGAGATTAGTGGATAGAGTCTTCATTGATTGATTTAGTGGAGAACGTATGAAAGATTCCAGAATGTGTTGGCTGACTTTTCTCTGTTCTTCATGGTCTTCTACTAGACTGTGGGGTTGTGGCCCGTTGCGTGTAAGGCTTAGCAAGCCAGATACAGGACATGCGCATTTACAGGCCAAAGCAAGACAAGACAGACAAATCAGACAAAACACATCTCCGACTGTGGCAGTTTCATGCATGTCCTGGTACTGTCGGATTGCTTTGCTCCATCAACAGAAGCTGAGATCTTGTAACCCAACCATATCATTTTGCGGGGTCCTTCCCTCGGCAACCCGAGCTGATGCACTTATATAGACTGCAGGCGGTCGTCATGTTTCAGGATCCATCTGAAGACGCTTGAATGGCCACGACGACACGTCCGGTGCCATGTGTTCTCTCCGTTCCAGTCGCCGGTCGCGTGTCGCTGCGCTCGTCGCGTGCCGCGGACCCGGCAGGATCGAGGAGACGAACGCCCGCAGTCAGGAGATCAAGGACCGTCGGCAGAATCGACACTTGGAGCCCGGGACGCCCAGCGAGTCCAACCGTCGGTGAAGCGGTGAAGCGGTGGCGTTCGTTGCGGGGTGGCGTGGAGGAGAGTCCACTCGGATGGATCCGATTGAAGATTGAGGGGTTTGCCCAATGGTGAGACCTTTATTTTTTAGGCATGACCTTTATGAGCTTTTCCAAAGTGTGAGAAGACAATTTTTGTTTTTTTGGTATCAGCATGAGATGGTGCTTGATCGTATGTCGGACTTGAGATGGACTTGAGATGGACTGGGGGATCTTAAAGTGATCGTCCCTTTTCTGGGAGAGGCACGGTAATGGCGTTTTGATGCGTTTTGTTTATGTCACAACCAGGGTACAGAGAGTGAATCGGCTTAAGTTGTATATTGCAACTTGAGTTGGTGTGAGTGAAAGAGGCGGAGGAGGCGGGCACACGCTGTGGGGACAAAAAGGTACGTTGGCAAATCGGACCCCAAAACCAGGACCTGAAAGAAACCCATGCCGCGCCCTCCAAACCAACGGTCCGGGGATCTTCGGTCCACCATCTTGGGTCTACAGCTCCGGAGCGTCGTGTTCTCCCGTAGCCGACACTCAGTGTTTCTCCCAACACCAAGACGAGCAGCATTCCTGCCAACACTCGTTCTACCTCAAAGAAATCCGGATCCTCATCTCCTCAAAAATCCGCTTTCGCTTCTCACTTCGACTCACTTCCCTCCTTTTCACACCTTCAGGCGCGAGGCTGTGATGAAGGAGTCGTTGATTGAAAAGGCTCGCGTGCACGAGGAGCTCCGCACGATGAAGGCCCGAAGACCGGACGATGGCCCGGATCGAGGTGGGTCGGAGTCGGGAGGCCGGACGGACGTGGGTCGGTCGGACCGGAAGGTCGATCTGTGTGTGCCAGGAGGTCACAGAGCTCGGGGGTGCGATCCATGGAGGGTGCCGTCGGGGTGTCCCGACCGTCACATCCACGAGCCCCTGGATGGGACGAGTCACACCACCCCGTACGAACGTGACCCCTGGTGGGTTCTTTTTTTCTTTTCGGTCTACCTGGACCGTAGGGAAATCCTTGCAACTCGTGGCGTGCGCCGAACGGGACTTGGAAGAGCTCCTACAAGCTGGCGTGACTATACCGGACATGCGGCGCCCAACTCCCAAGAACATGGCTGAGCTGGGTGAGAAAGCGCAGGAGATCCTTTCTGGATCTTCGGCTGGCACGATGGTAGATCGAGTGGCGGCTTTGGCTGTTGCAATAGCGGCCAAGCAGAAAGCGGAAGTTAGGGAAGGTGGCTCGCCCGCTCCTTCGGGGCGTGGTGATACGAGCGACAACAGAGGCAGGCTGCAGCCCTATCACCAGTGGATCTGGAAGTAGTGACGAGGTTCCATATAACTCACCATTGCCATCCAGACAAAACTTTTGCTATACACAAGTAGAACAACCTGCACGAAGTAGCGCGGATGTCCCCGAGACATGGGAAGAGCTGGCACCACAAGCATCCACATCGGAACAAGCAAAACTTATGGAGCAGATGATGGCTCGAATCGCTGCATTGGAACAACAATTGCGGCCAATGACGCCTGTGCAAGAAAGTCCTGAGAAAGAATCACCGGCACTAGATTGGCAAAGGAGATGGGCACGAACTTTTGGTCTAATGCCCTATCGTCCCGAAACGATTCGAACCTCCGATGTGGATTTGGCGCGAGTTGCACACATAGAGCTATTGCGCGATTTGGGCAGAGATGAAACAGATGTTGAGGCAGTAGTGCGAGGAATGGTCTTGAGCGACTATGTTGGATTGATTCGAGGACTGGATGTTGACAAAATCTGTGGCGCGCGTGGCGTGCCAACACAACCCAGTCTGGCGTCACGAGCTTACATCTCTAGTGACGGGGAACAGTCCGAGGTCTCTCGACCAGATCCAGTTTTGTGGGAGGAGTTTCCAGGCCATTTGCATGTTGAACGAGCAAATTTGTCATTGCCCGCAAACACTATTGCTGTTCGGTGGACAGGGCCGGACCCCGAAGATTTTCAAAGACCAAGGGGCCGTTATGTGGGCGTTAAACAACAGGAAACCTTCGCACATCACTTGGGTTTCCTCGCGCACCCCGATGATCCCTGGCCGGTTAACTTGGTTGAGGTACAGGTGCTCCGCAGTGAAGACCGTGTGCCCGTGCGGGCTTATGGCACGTCGCTCAAGGCCGCACTGGCAGCTCTTGCTGCGGTGGTTGGGCCGCGGGCGAAACCTTGACCGAGAGGAAATGCCAGTGTAAAATGTACGTCGGAGCACAAATTTGGGAACACGAACCCAAGAACGGACAAAATTGTGCAATTTCAGCTCTGGCGAGAGTTATATGTCCTGGGGGTGATCTCAAGAAACATCATGACCGCCTTGCGGCCCAGTATGCTCCCTGGATCATCGAAGATGCAACAATTGAGCGTGATGCGGCGGCCGTTTTATCTGAGGGAAAGAGCCAGTGGAAATCATGGGAGCTGCATACCAGTGACGATGGCTCGAATTGGCTTGACCTTGAAACACGTGTTGCTTGCTTGCAGGGCCAGTGGCAATTCGCCGCGAGGTGTTTGCAAAATGGCACCACGACTGGTGCATCCGCAGCGTTGCGGACTAGGGTTTTGTGCTTGTGGGAGGCTTGGCTCTCCCGCACAGATCCCAACAATGTGTTGCGGGAATGCACTGGTGGTCAAGTTCACGAAGAGTCAGAAGAACGGTTCAGACCGCGTCATCATGAATTCCGGCTGCACTTGGGCTTATTGGAAGCACAGAGGCTTCAATTGGCAGCAGCTGGTCATTACCCGGTACGCGAGGCAACCATTAATAGAATTGCCACCCGGGAGTTAGTGGTTAACCTTCATTCGGTGGAGCGCTGCAGGGTTGAACCAGAGGCGGTTGGGGACATTCTTTTGTCCGGTGACACGCACTCAATCCGACATGCAGAGGCGCTCATTCCAAGTGTGCTCCTGGTCCCGCACGATGAACAAGCCCGATGGACGCGCAAAGAGCATGCGGCGAGTGTGTGGAGAACTGCCATAGTTCGCTGGTTTTTGGAAACAAGCTGGTTCTTCCAGCAGAATATCAGTCAGGGCCTCTACGGCGCTGCTAGTCCGAAACCTACTACCTTTTTGATCACTGGGATAGATCGCCAATGCGCGACAGACATCGAACTGATGTCCCGTACCACGACCATGCCGGCAAATGTCAGCATAGGCCGTGAAAACGGCCAGTGGCGTACAAGCAAACTTAAGGAGTATCCTGATGCGTTGTGCAGTTACATCGCGAGGCTGTTCCAACAATGGCTTGTATGTCACGAAAGCAAGAGCCCTAGAGACTTTAGCACTGAGGCAACATGGCTTCAGGACCTAATCGTCCAAGAAGATGCCGCAGTGACGAGTTTCGGGCCGGACTATGCACATAATTCATAGAATTTGCGGCAAGGCGCTGCGCCGGAAGGCACTGTGCGCATCGAAAAGTGGAAAAAGTCTACCTGGATCTTCCGACGACATGCCAAATGTCTGCCAACCTTGGCTGATTTTATTTAAAGGCAGACATTTGTCACAGTTGGAAGATCCAGGTATATGAGAGACCCGGAGCTCCTTCTACGAACCTGGAGCTGTGTTGGAATGAACGCGTTGAAGCGGGGTTGTGGGAGACACCATTTTAGAACAGGAATTGCACTCTGGTCATGGGGGGCGCAAGTAGAATGCACTAACACCCTCCGTATTCTTCTTTAAAGGTGCAACACGTGATGTGCAATTCCTGAAGAAACGCGTCCTCACCCTTTGCGCATTTCGTCCTGTCACACGACAACGAGACCTACCTGGGAGATCGCTTGGGTGCAGATCCGTTTCCCATTCAGCCACGGATCGTTCAACCCATGACACCTTCGCCCCCCCCGGTCAGTCCTCTACTCCTGACGTCCGGGACCCACGACCGACCTGACACGCTGTGCGTCGTGCCCAGTCGGTCGGTCGGTCGACTCCCCCGGTCACTGAGACTAAGCAGTGGGTCAGATTGCAAGTGGTCTAGATCAGCAATGGTTTTTTCAATGAAAAAATAGAAAGTTTTAAAAAATGAAATAAATATAAAAAACATAAATATAAAAAATGAACTAAATATAACAAAAATGTAATAAATAAAAAAATGAAATAAATATCAAAAAAATCATTTTAAATCATTTTAAATCAAAAAAATGTTTTTAAATCTTTAAAATCTTAAAAAATCTTAAAAAATCTCAAAATATCTCAAATCATCTCACAAGCCGGGGTTCGTGGTAAAGGTTTCGGAATTACAAAGTAATTTTCCAGGAGCAAAATCTTAAAATATCTCAAAATATCTCAAATCATCTTTTAAAATCTTAAAAATGAAAAAAATATGAAAAATGAAAAAAATATGAAAAAATCTGAAATTTTCTGCAAAAATCTGAAAAAATAAAAATAAATAACACAACATTAAAAAAACATAGAAATATATGCAAAAACACTCTCGTGGTGAGCGTTGTCTGACAGGAACAGTCTGAGATTCTGCAGACTGTTGTGGTCTCAGACGCTTGCTTGCTTGTGGCAAGTGTGTTCAAAAAAGAACAAATTGTTGTTGTCACACATGATCAATTGTGCGTCAATGGGCTGCTGAAAATAGAAAAACATAGTTTTTTAATTTTTATTTTTCTTTTTTTCTGTGTTTTTCTGTGTTTTTCTGTTTTTTTTTCTGTGTTTTTTTGTGTTTTTTTTTTTGATTTTTTCTGTTTTTTTCTGTAAAAAACCATGTGCATCCGACCCTTGCAGATCTGACCCACTGCTTAGTCTCAGTGACCCGGGCCCTCCACGACCCCGGGACCGGGGCCGTTGGATGGAGGGGTCGGGAGCCAATCCGTGAGGGACCGGGAAAGGCGACCGGAGCGGGTCGACGGGACCCGGCCCATGGACGGAGTGGGGTCCGCCTGCACGAGCTTCTGGCGAACACCGGTCGTGGCTGGGACGTCGTCGTCGTTGTTTCGGTCCGTGACGGGGTCGTTCGTGGGTGTGACGGAGGGACGGAGGACGTGCGAGGGGACGGGATGGTTCGTGAGGGCGAAAGCGGTTCGTGTGGAGGTGGTGAGTTTGGAGGTCCTGATGGCCTGTGCAAAAGAAAGCAACAAAGTCAGCGAACCAACAAAGAACATCAGAGCATCAAAAAGAAGCAGCTTCTACATTGAAGACATCATCTTTTCTTACAACTTACAGTAGTAGAAGCATCTAGAACCTTTGGCTAAGTCTATTGCCCTTACAAAGAAGCCTCCTCAGATCTCCTCAGCATATCCCAGGTCGAACATCCTGGCCCTGGAAGGCCCAAATACGTAGCCATGTATATCTTTGCTCTTCAAATGGACCACTTGGGATATTTGGGATGCAAAGCCACTGGGCGAAGACGCCATTCGCGCCAGGTGCTGCCTACTCCACCTGAGAATGAGGAGAAAGAGAAAGAGTCTAAGTGAGTAGAGAAAATATTCGCCGCATGCCGCAGCCGCATCGCGTTTTTATTCTTTTCCTCGGCGGTGCGGGCAGGAGGCGTACGCCCATGCAGGAGATATAGGTTGTCTCATCACGGTCATTTGCGTATGAAGCTGGTAGAGTAGTACCCTAAGAATCCGGGCCCTCAAACAGATAGGGTTTTGAGAGCCCGGACCCCTGCTATGGAGGGTCCGACCCCTGCCATGCAGAGCCCAAGGATTCTTAGGGTAGAGGACATCTAAACCCAAATATGTCTTTGCACATCTTCGGCCTCGCAACGGAGCCGTTGAAGTCGTTTCATCTGGCCACACGATCTCCCAATAACACCCATTCCTCCCGCCCTTCTGGTCCGCACAAAACAGCAGGCCGAAACAGCAAGGAAAGGGCTGTGGGGCTCCAGGGCTCTGTCGTGCTCCGCCACAGGGAGGGGACACAGAACTGTCGGGGTTTGGGTTTTCAAGGCTGGGAAGCTTTGGTCGAGAATGGCCACATTCTTTGGAGTGCTTTTGTTTTGTTAAGCTTTGTGAGAAAGGATCTTTTGAGTAATCATGTGTCCTTTTGGTTTCTATTTTCGAAGCTTTCAGCGGGCCGTGAACCAGCCATCATTACTGGCCCCTCCACCTCAGACGCCTCCGCCAGCCGAAGAGAGGGCGGACCGGTCACCGGGCCGGCCGCGTTTGGCCGTTGGGGAGTTGCCTCCGAATGGAGGTGATGCTTCGGCGGGCCACAGAGGGAAGATCCGCAGAGTGAAGCTGATCTGGTTGTGAGGGCGGTGCCACATCCTGGCCGTAGGCTGCTAGGCTGACTCCGGTTGCACCAGGACCTTTCCACTATGGCACCAGGCACCAGGAGATGCCTGGAAGGTCGAC